AGAATATTCTAGTTATTTAGCTGCAATATAACGAACACACAATGCTAGGTGTGCCCTTAGAGGGCACACCTAGCATTGTTAAAATATACATATATATTTTTTACATATAACCTTTACATATAATTCAGTAAATCAACACAAATTATCATTTTTGTTAAAATTCGGCGAAAAGTATCTCTAATATACTTACAATGTTATATTGCTAGGTCTTCGTGTAAATTGACCTAGAACTTCAGGAACGAGGTGTAATACCTATACTCGGAATTTTAATTCCATTCCAGATTTGACAATTTCAGTGTTGCAACGTTATGACACGTAATAAATAGTGACGTTGCAAAATTATTCGATGTGGAAATCGAATATTTCTGAATCGATTCCTCTCGTTTATAAATTTACCCTCGTAAACTAAGTTTATCAGGAAATAAAATATTTCTGAACCGATAATTTAGTTTTGACAATTAATTAACGATCTGAGACTTTTCTTTTGTAATTGTGTGTGAAATTAATAAAAAATGTGATTATGAAGGAACATGACAAATAAAACAAAAATTGTATAAATTGTCGCCATCATAGCTATCGCTATCGCTGTTACTTTCTGTAACATTTATTATGAATTGTGTCTGTGATATTTATTGTCATTAGACATATCTAGCTTACTTATTTTTTCCTCTTCTTTGACAACATGGGATACACATTTAGACCATTCGGTAGCCGTAATTTTTTGAATGCCTTCCTGAAACTGATTCACTGATTGTTTATCGATTTTTGTGTTCGTCACTACACTGTTATATGTGGTATCATTATTTCACAAAATGACAATCATGGTCATGTCAAATCAGGAATCGAATTTAAATTCTGACTATAGGTTTAGAACTTAGGATACACAGTTGCTAAGAGTGGGTCATTATTAATGGCTGCCATTAAAGTCTTACTTTGACAAAACTTTGAAACACTGTGGTGTGTCTTGGTAATTACTTCACATAAAATTCGTGTTTTGTTTATTTTTTCATTCTATTTTATTTCCTTATATTACAAATTATAATAGGTATTATGAAATTTATCATTTTATTAATACCGTAAATAGATAACATTATTTTTTATTAGTACAGTTGAACATGTCAAACAATATATATTATCAGCAACTGTTTTCATCGTTTTTCAGTTATTTTTCAAGCCCCAACTCCAAGCTTTATGTCCGAAATGTAAAACAAAACAATACTTTTCAAATCGAACCCGACGCCAACTCATCCACCGAGACGGTTAAATTACAAATCAAATAAGTGGTGAAATTAATTAATTTCGAATCTTAGGCTTTACTTATTTCGTTTTCCTTATAATTTTATTACAATTACAATTACAATTCTAAAATATAAAATAAATGAAATAGTTAAATCTGATAGGCCATCTTTTCATGTTTAATTAAATGCCTGTCTCATTTATAATTTATTTAGTTTCACTTGACATTTGAAGATTGAAATAAAGATATGTTCAGTCACCGGACAGCGTAATCCTCTTACGCAGTCAATTAAAATACTTTTGTCTTCATTAGTAATTAATTTAAACGCTGAATGTGACGTCACGTGTGTAATTTGACAAGACTGTAATAAGTGTATGCTTATAAGGTACCTGCTAAATACACAGTATATCAAAAGTTAAAATTAAATATTGGAACTGGAGAGCTATGTTTTGTCCTGAATGGACCATCTAAAATGACCACAGCCTATTTAAAAGCTAGCATGCTTGAGTTCGTTCGCTTTATATCCAAATTCGCCAAACCTCAAATCCTGAATTTCCAATAATCTACGGCACTGATAGTTCAGCATCAGATAATATTAATAAGTATGCTCGTTTGACAATCTATGTATCTTTTCGAAGATAATTTTAGCTTTATACATGTATATGGATCAAAATACAATTTCATATTAATTCTTTTAAGTAATTTAATATTGTTTCCACACCAAGTGTTAAAGACGTCTATTAGAAGAGCTGTTGCATAAATCTTTCAGGTGACACTGATAAACAAACTATTGAATTTATATATGTATTCTATGCGCCATTTACATAACCTTAGAAACCCGTCAGCCATAAAGGAATCAGTCACCGAATATGCCAAAGGTTAATAGTCACCCAATAAACGACTGTTCCCAGTACTCAGTATTCAGACTACTCGTCAAATAGTAATGGGCAGTCGTAAACAGTCGCACGTATCGTAGTTGGTAATCTGTCGGTAATCACAGTCATTTCCTAGATTACTCGTACCAGACGTTCCCTGAAATGATCAGTTGTTCAACGAACCTACAATATGCTCGTGTTTTCATTTTAGAGTTCCATTTTCATAGGGTAATGGAAACTCTTTTTTGTGAGGGTAATATATCAAATGAGTTCTCTTGCCCAGGGTTTTTTTTTGTAAGGGGAAAATCATCAAATGACTTCTCCCGCCCAGGGCCGGGCGAGAGGGAGTGTCAGACTCTTACTGACTAAAAACCCGCTTGTTCCTTCTCCTGCTCTGGGCCGAGGTAGCGGTGCCTCATTGCGCTTACCCCGCAACCCCGGCCTCTTGCCCAGGGTAAGATAAAAGTGTGTGACAGATTCTGTCTGACTAAAACCTCCTCCGTTCCATTTTCTGCTCTAGGATAGGACGTGGTAGCTTATTGCGCTTGCTCTGCAACTTCGGCTGAAAATCAGCCCTGTTAGGGTGCATCTGTCAGGTCTATTGGCTGTTTGACGCCCGCGGAACGATACGCTCAGGTTTGGTTGTGGTCGGGGATTGTAAAACCACGCGGTTTGTCTATGGCTCTGTTTGTCTATCAGGCTGTTTGATATGAACTGTGATAGTTAGAAATTTGAAATTTGGAGAGATATAGTATTTATGTGGCCGCTATAACGAACAATTCCTAAACACAAAATAAAACAAATATTTAAGTAGGCTTCTACACAATAAGGTTGAATAAACGAATGCCACTCAAACCTTCGTGCTCGAGTTCAACTCGCACTTTTTTAACTAAAAGTCATTGCACTCCATAAAGGTTACATGTCATATATTATTAAGTTCTTTCGTGTGTTGTTCGTGTGTAGACAACCTTGATTTTGTTATTCAGTCCACGTATTAAGTTTTTAGTTAATATTTCTGTGATTATGTCATTAGTGTCTCTGTGACTTACTTTAGTTAGTTTATTAATGTTAATAAAACAATTATTGAAAAGAAAAAATCTTAATCTTATTTAGAGGTCAGATGGTACTATGTTCTATGTGAAAATTCATTCTAATCTGGTTAAGACTTAGTTGTGATCTCAAAATTAGTTTAAAAAGGCTAGAAGAATCAGAAACACAAGAACTTGCCCCACAAGTTTTTTCTCCTTTTTACGTTTACAAATATACAATTTAACATACACAGACCCGGAACAACCATTTGTGGATCACACAAAAAGACGCGCACGGCAGCCAGTTGCCCAGTCATCGCGCCAACTGTTCAGCTTTGATTCGAATTTGATGACCAAAAACTTACTAACGTTACCATCTACAAGTCGATTAAATTTTAATCGACTACAAACTATCCGAATCACATCTCTACATTTAACACTTGACTCTAAAAGGTTCAGGAGTACCTCATAACCGTTTACTGCTCACAATAAAAACGAAGTACGTGAAAATGTATTAACGGATTGTCTGTAACTTGCAACGTGCCTACATGTTACGTAACGTGTTACAGTAATACTGCACGTGGCGTGTGTAACAGTGTCAAGTAGCAGCTCGTTCATAATGGTTATCGCACGACCAATGGTGCAATTAACGGGTTATTGTTGCAACGTGCTTAGAAGGTGTTAAGTGTTATGTACTTCGTTATGTGTTGAAGTCTATATGTTACTGCAATGACATTTATGTATTTTATAAGTAAAGGTAGAAGTGAATTTGCATCCCATTTTTATATACTTAGTAAATTAATTAGGACTTTGTGTTTAAATGTGTTTAAAAAAAATATTTAAGGAAAAGGTAAAAATATAACTGTTTCAAAGTCAGATTAGGGTGTTATCTTGTACATTATTTCGATTTATTTCTAATAAAATGAAATAAATCGAAATATAATTTTAATTTTTCTACACACGCAAAACACATTACAGTGAATATATGAAATCAATTTAATTTCCCAATAATAATATCACGTCTCGCAATAGAAGCAAGCTTAATAAAATTGAGTATTAAATAAAAAGCCAATCATATGAACTGTCAATAAAGATATTATCACAAGACGTAGGTGAGCGAAATTTGTTGTGTGGCAAAGAAAAATTGCTTGTCTATTGCTTGCCATGAGTGAAAATAAATTCAATTTTCGAATGTCAAAATAAAACGCCATTTATTATTTATTATTATTTCGTAATAACATCATCATTTACCACGGATTGATTTATATTAGTCGACGAAATTTTTATTTTAATATTTATATAAAATAAAATAAATATTTTTATGAGAAATATTATTTATTTTTAGCCTTTTGACAGTTTGATTGGATTAGCAGCTAAGATAAGCAGAATAAATAATATATTCGACAACTCAACGATTTTATACGAATTTGATATTTGTTTTGAGCCTTAGGATACAAATTATAAGACTTTGATAACATGGATTTGGAGGTATGAGTGAACAGGATGGAAAGTTCTTCGTCCGCAAATGAAAATGGAAGAATCCTCCTACCAGACGGGTGTGCTGCCCGACGGATATGTTATAACTGTGTCGAAAACTTTTACACCGCGATGTAGGAAGATCCTACATCGCGGTGTAAAAGTGATTGGTGCTGTTGCTGCATGTTGTGCGATAAATGTCACTACAAGGATGGTGCATTAGCAGCCGGCTGCTATAACACCGCAAAATCATATCTCGCCCTAAATTATTTATTGCATGACTCACGAATTGTTCCTATTTAATTAGTACTTTTTAAACCTCTTGATAGGTCAAGAAAACTTTGTCATGAAATTCATAACTTATGCATTTTAAGACATACATACCTTCGACACTAGGTTTCTCGCAGACGAAGTAGTTATGCTCCCTGCATCCTCTATCGTTCCACATGAAGGTTGTGGCAGCTGGTGGTGGTCGCGGGGGAAACTCACGACGAGCCTCCACGCAATCCTGGCCTGACGTTCCATCATCATTGGGCTGGCCACTGTGCTTCCTCCAACCAGGAAACCAGTCTGCGAACAAAATAATTATCAATTATTACTAATATTAATAGGTAGTTTTTACACAATATGTTAATTGTATACATTTTGAATAATATAAGTTTATTTTTACGAGTATGTTAAAAAAAAGTAATAAATGAAACATATCAATAACAGTACAGTCCTAGCTGAAAAAACTCTGTATTAAAAGGCCAGTGTTTAAACTAACAAGATTATTAAAAACTCATTTCTTTAAAAAATAAAATAAAATCTGCTTTTTAAATAACGAACTGTTCTAAAGATTTCACGTTATAAAGACACAAAACGTACAAATCAATACAATTCCAACTTTATAACAAAACAGTAAGATTGAAAATAAAATAGTCAAGTTGGTATAATTTGATTTTGTGCTTCACAAATGTTTTGTTTCCATCGTATTAGAGCAGTGAAGTAGTCATTACTGGAAACTATTAGGTGCTCTAGGTATAGAAATTTAAGTACTGCACGTCGATTCTATAAGATTTGTTTGATTTTGAATCTTGTTTGAGCGTGAAGTGAGCGTTGAAGTGACGGGTAATTATATTATAGAATGCCACTTTTAACGTCGTCTCATACTTTATCTATCAAAATGTTGCGGTCAATTTAGTTCAACAAGCGTAGAGCCGGTGTACTACTACTCACAGCGGATTTAGATTTGAAGTTTAGAATGTAGTCTTACAGAATCACACTGCTGTTCTTGTAACATACTTAGTACGGAACCCGGTGACAAAATATCCTTATGACTTCGTTTCATAATATATTAGATCATTTATTTTGTTTAAACTTTTCTTTTAAGAAAATATCTGTCGCCATTGCTCGGAGGTCCAGTCGTTCACTTCTCCTGGATGAGGGTGCTGATTTAAAACCTGGTAACTACCAATGTGATTTTGTTGTTGTTTATATGTAGGTGCATGTACAAGTTTGAAGGTACATATATTGAGACAGCCCTGACACTCGTCATTATACAGGGACATCATCATTTATGTTTGAAATAACCAACCCGCTTTCAGCAAGATTGGTGATTATATTTTCCTTGAGAGAACAGGCCTCCAAAGTTCAACATTGGGCAATTAGGGCTGGTGATGATGATGATGATTGTAATATTTAGTTAGCATACTGTTAGGTTGGTAAACCTAGCGACGAATGCGCGCCGTAATGTTGGTATTCCGTGCGCGGGTTGTCTACCGCGCGTTACCGCCTATTTAAAAAAATAAATTAGTGTACCACAGACTAGCGAGTTTGATTGATGTATTGTATCGTTCCTTATTTCTCGCGTAAATACAAAATACATACTTTCTGCCACAATATCAAATTTGAAAATTTTATCTCTGTTATAATAATAATAATAATAATAAGCCCGCAGGGCACCTTGAGGCGAGGTGACGGGAATTAGCGATCCCGCGGGCTACCATCATCCCGATTGCTCCAGGGAGAAGTCACCGTTCCTCATCTCCGGCTTGCCTTCATTGGCTGGCCGGAGTGGACGATGACGAGGAACAGGTCTCCCACCTCTGGCTTGCCTTCATTGGCCGTCCAGAGTGGAGTCGCGAGAGTAGTGATCCTGCTCGGAGGGTGGAAGCTGTTCGTAAGCGGCGAGTGGGCCAGTGATGCAGGATGCTTAGGCAGATGCAGATGATCTGAGTAGAAAGCTGGTGGCAGTTTCTTCACCCTTCAGCCACTCACATTTCCGTTGTCCCTCTGTTGCTATTACTAGCAACTATTCCCGGGGGCCCGGTCGGTGAGTTGGCGAGTCTCCGCCTGCCATTTTTACGTGTATAAATTACATTGTTTCGGCAGGTGCCATAGTCCTTCTATAGTTCCCATCCTACTAGCCCATAGCAACCCACACCCATAGCCTTGTATTTTGTTTCCATTATCCGCAATAGTCCTACACTAACCGGGGACTGTCCTTGGGTGCATTTCCATAGTGCATACAGGGATAGTCGCCGGTTTGTGTCCCATTTCATTTAGATTAAAGTTGTCTTAAGGGCCTCTGCGCAGTTGGCTCCGGCCCCTCGTACGCCTTCCAAATGACCGGGACCCTGTGGTCCCGTGATTGGTAGAGACATACATAATAATAATAAATCATTTATTTTAAAGTAACCAGGATTCACAAAATGTTAGTAAAACTTACATCTATGTTAGTAGTCACAACTGTTTTCTTTTTTTCAGATACATCCTACATTAATCCATGGGAAATGGCATTACATCGTCCCATGTATATGCAGTCCAGCCTGCTTGCAACCATGTTCAGGATACTGTTGGAGCTGGCCCGCACCCTGCTCACCAGGGAAGCACACCTTTTGCGCATTGTTGCATAAAAACAGTCTATGTGTGCATCTGCAAACATCCCTGATGCGCTACAGAAGCGGGGCAGCCCCACCAGCACCCTAAACGCGTTATTATATTGAACACGGAGAGCGCTGTACGACCTCTGCGCAAATCTAGCCCACAGGCTGCATGTATAAAAGTTGGTACAGTAAGCCCTAAAAAGGGTGAGCTTGACTTCAAGTGAACATCTTGCAAACCTGCGAGCTATCATGTTTGCCCTAACGGACAACGCTCTCCGCTCACGTTCAATGTCTTTATCGTCCTTGAGGTTGGGTGTCAATATATGACCCAGATATTTAAACCTATGAACTCTGTTTAAAGGCACTTTATTAAGAAATACAGGTGGTGTACTTTCAGGACATTTACCCCCAGCCTCAAATACCATAATTTCCGACTTTTTGCAGTTGTAAATAAGTCCATGTGACTTTGCATACTCTTCACACTTCTGCACAAGTTTTCTAAGGCCACAGATTGACGCGCTCAGCAGCACCATGTCATCCGCGTAACTAATGTTATTAACACAGACACCATCAATAAAACAGCCGACCCTAATGCTATTCAACTCGTCAATCAGCTCGTTCACATACAGGTTGAACAGCGTAGGTGAACTCAACCCCCCCTGTCTCACCCCGCACTCCAACCCATATGCACGAGACAAAGCCCCGGCCCATTGCACATAGTTGCTCTGATTTCCATACCAAAATTTCAAAATGTTTATTATTTCAAATGGTAAATTTGATTTCTCCAATTTTTTCCACAACCCCTCATAGGAAACCAGATCGAAAGCCCTGGATAGGTCGAGAAAGCAAGCGTAAACAGGTGTACCACGCCGTGTATAATACGTGACAGCCTGCTTAAGACACAAAATTGCACTTTCGGTTGACAATCCGGGTCGAAACCCGAACTGGTTATCATGATGTTATACTTTCCGTTTTATTATATTGAATATATGAACATTAAAATTAATAAAATAGTACCTGTAAACATAACGGTGATTGATTGTATAAGAAAAAATATGTATGATCATTGTGGACAGAATACATGAATCAATGAATATTCAATACAATACGGTGCATTATTAAAGGTTGTTATTGCGATCATCGTGAATTTTACATAAGCTGCTGTCAGCTGATTTGGATGTCTATGATTTTGATTATTTTAATATATATTTTTTATTACAGAACGACTTTTTTTCGATTTTAATAAATTAAAGTTTAAGAGGAAACCTGGACTTATAATTTCTAATTATTAGTTTGAAATCGCCAATTAGCATTGAGCAAGCGTGGCGATTAATGCTCAAGCCTTCTCCGTTTGAGAAGAGGCCTTTGCTCAAGTGGGCACATATAGGCTGATGACAATGATGAGGAAAGTTTAAGAGTTAGGCGATTTGAGGATTTAGAGATTGGAATGTGATATGGGAAATTGCGGAACCAAATACCTACATATTCCATTTTGCAAGATTTACACACACAGATTTAATTGAGCCCCCACGTTTGAAGAATTTTTTTATTATTTATAAATTGGCTAGTTTCCTAGATCAAAAATAAATACTTTTGTTTTTCAATATATCGAATTATTTATACATAAGTAGTCATATTTTCATTTATTCATTTGACAACATGCTTATTAGTTTAGATTATTATAGGCTTTAATAATGATGAAATAAAAATGGAACTTGACGCAGAAACATTATGATGCCATATGTTGCAACATAAATACAACCTTATTTCGAAGCTTCTTAGTATAAACCTTTAGTGACACGAGCACAGGCAGAATAATTTACAGGAATAATTCAATTACATTATTATGTTCTGCGAATCGTTTTGCCCGTTTTCATGTGGATAAACAGAAATCGTTTTTCAACACGCGATTTCACGGAATAGTGATGTGAACGTTCGAAGATATTTGTCTATGAAATTGATAATTTGTAAATGAATCGATAGATTTGACTATGAAGGTTATTATTGGTGGGCGTGTGGCGAGCTTCTACACAATAAATTAACTCTATCAGCATCTAGACAGCTAGTACAAAACTAGTTTAGAATATCGTTCAGCTGAGAAAAATACAATTCAACAAAATACTTTGTATACAAGAATACTTTGAAGATAAAAATTGTTAGTAAGTAATATAATACCTGGGTTCGTATTTTCATTATTGGAACTTACCTACTTCTATGTAAATGTACATAGTTATACTTAAATAAATAATATACTTATTACATTGTACTTATGTGTGTACACCAATAAATGTTAAATATTTTGAAGAAAATGTAAATAAGGAAGATGTTAACAACCGTTTTAACTTCAGAATAGGTTTGAAACATTAACACTATTTATAGTAAGTTAAATAACATTATTTAAAAGGTAATCCTAGTTGATTTTAGAACCGAATTAAGATTAGTTTTAGTAATCTAAAAGATATTATAAAGAATATAAGAAACATTTATAATAAATCGAATGTAAATCCAGACATCATTAACTGTAAAATCAATGAAAACTTTTAAGTGTGGGAGAGCCAAATTTCGGCGTCAGGTCGACCGGAGTGATACCACGGCTTCACGGAAAACCGGCGTGAAACAACCATAGCGTTGTTTTTCGCAGTGTGAGTGAGATTACCGGAGGCCCAATCCTTCCCCTCGCCCATGCATCTCCAACCCCTATAT